TTAGTGTAACCACGTATACGCGGATTTTTCGAGGTTTACGTGGTTCATCTGATTCTCATGCATCAAAGCCACTAAACCATCTTCCATTTCCATAATAGAATAAATGATTAAATATTTACAAAGTAATGTTGGTTACTGCTATGAAAATAGAATTGTATTAAAATCTTATACATATTTAGAAATAAATGAAAAAGAAAGAAATGTTATTATATGGAATTACTAATAACGCTATTCGTAACAGTATGCACAATAATACAGAACTCAAGTGAAATTCCAAAAAAGAATCATCAATCAATAACCCTTTATAGTTTTATTAACCTCCAATTAGTAAACAAGTAATTCGGAATACCTTAAGTGATCCATTCCTGAAACTCCACGCCTAATCATGTGAACTATAAAAAAACCTTTCTTTTTGGTTTGTAATTTACATCCTTGGAGTTCTTCTGAATCGTTTTCTTCGGGGATGCTGTTATTATCTGAAATTGTGAAACCGCCTAGTAGTTCAACAAGTGAAATACTCTTAAGTGTTGGAAATTGCTTCGAACATGGGATTAATGTTCCTATAGATAAAAAGAAAGCATTTGAGTATTATTTGAAATCTGCTGAATGCGGAAATTCTAATGGACAAAGAAATGTTGGAATTTGCTATTCAAGAGGTATAGGAATTGACAAAGACGAAAAGAAGGCATTTGAATGGTTTTTGAAATCCTCTAAAAGTGGAAATACCGATGCACAAGTAAAAATTGGATTTTACTATAATAATGGTATTGGCGTCTCTAAAGATGAATGTAAAGCATTCGAGTGGTATTTGAAATCTGCTGAAGGTGGAAATTCTGATGGACAATATAATGTTGGAGATTGTTATGCGAAAGGGATAGGAATTGTTAAAGATGAAAATAAGGCATTTAAATGGTATTTGAAATCTGCTAAATGTGGAAATTTGGATGCACAAAATAGCATTGGAATTTGCTATCAACTTGGCATAGGGGTTACTAAAGATATAAAAAAAGCATCTGGTTGGTATTTGAAATCTGCTAAACGTGGAAATTCAGGTGCACAATATAACGTTGCAATTTGCTACCAACTTGGCATGGGCTTTTCTAAAAATGAAAAGAAGGCATTTGAATGGTATTTAAAATCTGCCGAAAGTGGCAACTCTAATGGACAATTCTTAGTTGGACATTGCTATCAATTTAGTGTAGGAATTTCTAAAGATGAAAAAAAGGCATTTGAGTGGTATTTGAAATCCGCTAAAACTGGCAACTCCAATGGTCAATTTTTAGTTGGACATAGCCATCAATTTGGCATAGGAATTTCTAAAGATGAAAAGAAGGCATTCGAGTGGTATTTGAAATCTGCTGAACGTGGCAATTCCGATGCACAGTATAGTATTGGAATTTGCTATCAACTTGGCTTGGGTTTTTCTAAAAATGAAAAGAAGGCGTTTGAATGGTACCGGAAATCTGCCGAAAATGGTAACTCTAATGGGCAATTTTTAGTTGGACATTGCTATCGATTTGGCATAGGAATTTCTAAAGATGAAAATATGGCATTAGAGTGGCATTTGAAATCTGCTGAACGCGGAAATTCAGATGCACAATATAACATTGGAATTTACTACCAATTTGGCATGGGCTTTTCTAAAAATGAAAAGAAGGCGTTTGAATGGTATTTGAAATCTGCTGAAAGTGGTAACTCTAATGGGCAAATTTTAGTTGGAGAATGCTATCTAGTTGGCATGGGAATTTCTATAGATCAAAAGAAAGGATTTGAGTGGTGTTTAAAATCTGCTGAAAGTGAAAATTCCAGCGGACAACATAGAGTTGGACATTGTTATCAATATGGCATAGGTGTTTCTAAAGATGTAAAAAAGGCATTTGGATGGTATTTTAAATCTGCTGAAAACGGAAATTTTCATGGGCAACACTACATTGGAGATTGCTATAGAGATGGCATAGGCGTTTCTATGGATGAAAAGAAGGCATTTGAGTGGTATCTGAAATCCGCTGAGGGAGGAAGTTCTGATGGACAATATGCTGTTGGAAGTTGTTATGAAAAAGGAATAGGTATTTACCAAGATTATGAGAAAGCGATTGAATGGTATTTGAAATCGGCGAAAAGTGGGAATTCAAAGGGAAAAGACGCAGTTGGAAGTTGCTATATGCAGGGAGTGGGTGTCTCAAAGGATCATAAGAAAGCATATGAATGGTTTATGAAATCAGCTAAAGATGATGATCTGATAGCACAAGAACACGTTGGAATTTGCTATCGAAATGGCATAGGAATTCCTCAAAACCAAGAAAAGTTTATTGAGTGGTTTCAAAGGTCAAGAAATAATCTAAAAGCTTATTCATCATTGGCAATTTTATTGGGTGCGGAAAATTTTCGTGAAAGTGGAAATTCCTATGTCGATAACTTTTTCAAAAATGTTTTAAATGAAATTAATAATTATTCATTATCATGGATTCCGTTCGATGAATTAAAATTTATTTCAAAAATTGGGGAGGGTGGATTTGCAACTGTATACCGTGGAGAATGGAGATGGAAATCAAGAAATATAGTAAGTCCCGTTGCGATTAAATTGTTTAAAGGGTCGCAAAATAATTGTGAAGAAGCCATGAAAGAGGTAGGAACTTAATAAGTTATTTCTTTTAATATTTTTAGATAATTAAATTATGTCATTGTTTTTAATTTTATTATATTGCAGCTAAAAAAATATTCTGAAATTGGTCGTGAAAACCCTACATTTTTAAAATGCCACGGGATGTCGAAACATGAGGCTACCAATGATTATATATTAGTAATGGAATATTCTCCAGGAGACTCTTTGCGAAAAAATCTTAATAATGTTGCACGGATGAAATGGAAAGAAAAAATAAATTTATTATTTTCTATTATCCATGATCTTAAATTAATCCATTCTAGTAATATTATTCACGGGGATTTACATAGCGGAAACATATTGATGAATAGACACTCAAATGGCGCATACATCTGCGACTTAGGACTTTCGAAAACACTCAATCAAGCATTATCCAAACCTAATAAAACTTATGGGGTTATTCCATATATTTCGCCTGAGATTCTTTGTAAAAAACCATATTCTTTGGCATCTGATATCTATTCATTTGGCATTATAATGTGGGAAATAGCTTCAGGAATGTTAGCGTTTTTTAATAAAAAGCATGATTGTAGTCTGGTTTTAGAAATTATCAAAGGAACAAGACCAAGTGTTGAAGGCATGGCACAGCGCTATATTGATCTTATGAAAAAGTGCTGGGATAATAACCCAGAAGAGCGCCCTACGGCTTCGAAAATTTATGAAACAATTGAATTATGGAATGCTGATGAAAAAATTTTATTGGAATTTGAAGCCGTTAATAAAATAATCAAGACTTGTCAAACGTCGGTTAATGCTACTATTTGTTACGACAAATTGACTTATGAATGTTTAGAAGATTTTCAGCGTTCAGATTATGGTAAATTACATTTTTATATCAAGCCCGCAGAGTATAAATCAGGGGTAATAATAATTTTAATATACTAATTAAATACTGAAATGTTAATTCGATATTCATTAAATTTTTTAGGTTCAGCTTCAATTGATTAAATATTTTGCTGTAGAAACTAGCGAAACTTGTAAAAAAGTTTTTATGCATTCATTAATTTCATTGAATAAAATTTCTTTATGATTGCAATATTATAAATTAATGCTCAATATTTATTACATATGATACATATCTATCTATACCATTCAATTCTGAGTTCGTACGCTTTAACGTTTTTAATTGGTTGTATCCGAATCCAAATGACTGAAAAT